TATTGAGCTGTCCATAGTGATACCCAGGTCTGTTTCCCAAGTTCCAGTTCATTTAGAATCCAGTAAGGTGTTCCAGTTCATTTAGAATCCAGTAAGTAGTTCAAATTACTCCTTTCAGTGTGAATTACTTCACATTTATCAACACTGATCCATTTTAAGTAGGCTTGACATTCTCTAAAAAGTAAGAAGGGGCTGGATATTTCAGGAGAATGCAGGGAGACTTTAACTAGGTTGCTGATCCGAATTCAGCCCAAGTCGGTTGAAAGTGAGAGTTGCTAGGATCATCACTGTCTGTTGGCCTATGTGAAATTAACTGCTGATCTCTTTGAACAAGTGTCTGTCACAAAACCATTGCCACAACAATACACAGCCTCAGAAAACAGGTCAAAGAATGAATGGACTAAACTCTCCATCCCCACTGATGGTACCTTGAGAACAGGATTAAGGCAGTGGAATGGGATAGTGTGAATAAGCTTACACTAGGGCTGTTTATACTGTAACTGTTCTGTAAATGATCAGATTATTCCTGATAGTGAAAGATGCAGTATTGATAGTCTAACACGTATTTTACTACAAAATAAAATGTCCATTAGAGTGCCAAATAAGAGAGCATTTTTTGGGCGCTCTTGGAAAAAATTAGATCCAAATACCATTAGTGGGTGATATGTATGCATCACAGCATTTTCTGAAAATATTTATCTAATTTTAAAATATTTGTCAGTCTATACAAACTTTTCTCTGTCTTTCTGCCCTTCTAGGCGTGGGAGGAACTGCAATGTAAAAAGTCTTGCTTATTTCAAAAGATATTTAATTAATTAGCAGAAAAAATAGGGGAAAGATGCTAATTAACTCAGAAGGGTTTCTAGCATAATAGATATTCATTTTGTTTTGAATAATGCAATAGGTTTCTAATGTCAAATGTTACCCTGAACAACAACAGATTAAATTAGTGATTCTCAGAGTGCGGTCTGCAGACCACTAGTGGTCCGTGGCTGCCTTACAGATGGTCCACAGGAAGGACGCTTCAAAAATAGTGTCACTCTAACCGCCATGCTGTGGGCCAGGGCCTGGCTGCTCACTCTCCCTGCCCGCCTGAACATGCACAGAGTCTCCTAATGGCAGCCCACCCCCACCAACGGCCCCTCATTGCCAGCTACAGCTCACACCGCAGCATTCACCCCGAGTTCCAACACGGTGCGTACCACTGCCTGGTGAGTCCCTGCCACCTCCTGCCCAACCACCACGTGTCACATGGCCTCCTCCCCAGCCCAGGTCCAAGGCAAAAGCCGGTGAAGCTGCTCCTGGACCTCGGTGCCTTAGAGTTGCTGCCACAGTCCCAGAAGGGGCCGCATGCAGCCCAGCTGGGTCAGTGTGGGGCGGGGTGCACTCGGGCTCATCAGGTGCGCTCCATGCACTGTCACTGTCTCTCCTCTACCACTCAGCCACTGTCCATGAGCCAGGGCTGGTGGAGAAGGCTGGGGCTTACTTAATCTCCTCTCCCCCTCCTCCCACATGCCCTCCGAGCGGGGAGCTGGTGCTGCAGCCTCACGGCTGCATGGGCTCCCTGCTACTTGGGGGAGGGGAGGCTGAGCTCTCTCCCCATCTCCCTCCCCACCCCACACCGCAGGGGAACAGCAGCATGCTGTCCAGGGGCTTTTCCCCCTGCAAGGGGACAGGAAGCCAGGTAAGCATCCCCCCTCATGCCCAGACCCCTGCACCCCAATCTCTCTTACTCTCCTGCCCCCGCCATGACTACACACACTCACCTTGCTCCAACACCCTCCCCTCTGGCCAGAGACCTGCCTGCAGCCTACTCCTACATCCACCATTGCTCCTGCACTCTCCCTTGCTCCTGCTCCCTTCCCCTGGCCAGACACCCTACTCCCAGCCTGCTTCTGTACCCAACCTCCCACCCAGACCTCGCAACCTTTTGCCCTTCTGCACCTCACCTCCCTCCCAGATCCTGAACCCCCATCCCTAACCCAGTTGCTGGCAACTCTGTCCCACACAATGAACCCCTCATTTTTGTCCCCACCCCAGAGCCCAAGTGGGGGAGGCATAAAATCCACTGATTCCAGAACCCCAGAAAAGTAAATCTGGCCTATGTGAAGCCCTGAACCTCAGTCCTCATCTTCTCCTCATACCTTGGGGTTGGAGCACCAGAGCAGTGAGGTGTGTCAGTTGTGGGCCACATCAGTGAAGGTTGGGTGCTGTTGGAGGAGTTTTTTTGCTTCTCTCGTGTGGTCCCTAATTGATTTTTCTGTGGGTCAGTGCCCCTTGGCCCAAAAAAGGTACCCACACCTGCCATACATAAAGAAAACATTGAAACCTTTTATGTTGGACATAATATTTTACTTTATTTAAAATGAAATTTTATAAATAATATAAGAGAGTTAAAATGCTTCATCTGTATAATAATTTCAATTAAATGGTTCTTCCTAGCTGTAGTACTAGCAAAATGGCTTGGGCATAATTATGTAATTAATGGTGGGTTTCCATTGGGAAAGGTTTACATTAATCTAGATGGTCCATGGGCCAAAAAGTTTGACAACCACTGGATTACTATTTTAACTTTTTTTTTAAAGGCTTTCCCATGGGCGGGGGCAAGGGGGGGGGAGAGACCCTTCCCCAAAAAAAAAACAACAGTTGTACTGAAACAGGAAGAATGGTGGGATATTTTTTCATTTACCCTTTTAAAATAAGATATTACTTTCAATTTATACCAAAATGCCCCTGTTTAAATTAATATTGTCATTTAGGATGAAAATGGCAATGAGGGAATTTATCATAGGTAGAAATGTTTGAACTAAGGACTTGTCTACATGAGAAAGTTGTACCAGTTTAAATCCTGTGGGGGCATTCTTATATAGTTTTCAGGTGTCCGGTTTTGAACCAGACAGTCCAGTATTAGAGCTTTCTGTTCGGGAAACAAATTGAAAAAATATAAATGAGAAAATATAAATGTCCGGTATTTTCTAAATAAGATGTAAAGTAGATTGTGATGTAATGTCAAGTGTGTCCGGTATTTTTGTTGAAACCATCTGGCAACCCTATTCCTTTAAAGCTGGTGTACATTTTACATGAGAAGGCCCGCCAATGGAGAAAAATGGGGCAAATGCACAGAGGCCCTGCGTTTCAAAGGGGACAAGAGTTCCTGGCTGCTTCCAATGCTGCAGAAGCAGTGGCCTGGAGCTCCAGGCCCCTTTGAAAAGCCATGGGAGCTCTGTTCCGAAGGGCTCTGAGAACTGAGGAGGAGAGGGGAAAGAGCTCAGCACTGCACTCCTCCCACTATAATTAAATCAGTGGAACTTCTGCGTGCAGGCAGTGTCCACACACAAATTAGCAACAGTCGAGCAGTTTTGGATTTGATATGTGTGCATTCACAAATGAAAAATGCGGAATTGGAAACCAGGTCTAAGGCTCTGATACTGAGTGCTATGGAAACCTCTGTAAGCAAGCAAACATCTGTTCCTGGCTCTGCGCTGGACTTGCTGTGCTCTTTAGGGAAAGTCATTTAACATCTCTGTGCTTCACAATAAGATCTCTGGTCTGAAATGGGGATGTTGCGTAGTCCACTCTGCAATGTGCTTTGAGATCAATGGATGAAAAGTGTATGGAACAGGATGGTCTGCCCTTTTGATGGCCTGGGCCCTGCCAGCCCTGTTTATTCTGGAGTAGGACTCAAAATCATTATAAAACCCAAAAAGTGGCTGTACTGGGGTGACACTTACCTCATGCAAGCATCCCTGTCTGGCCAAGTGCTGGTTCCTGCACTGCCTCAGTTTAACCAAAAAGCTTCCTCGTCAGCTCAGACCTGCAGCCAAGTCACACTCTGGCATGTCTCAAACCCCTTCTGTGGTACACCTCTAACAGGAGCCCATCTCAGTGCCCTCTGTAAAGTGTTTCTCTGTCTCTGTCTGTTGCCCCACTCTGATCAAGAGGGGTGCCTCCAGGTCTTTTCCTCCTGGAAACAACTCCCTTTGCCCTTAGCCCAGGGCTTTATCTTCCAGTTCATAGTCTCTGAGCAGCTCTCCTCTCAGTACCACTCCCTCAGGCCAGTCACTTACCTTACTCCTTTCTCCCTGAGGTCTGGGGTGCAACTGCGCTGAGTCAGGTGCTGCAGCTTCTTATGTAGTCCTATCTGGGCCCCTGATTAGCTGGTCTCTTCCCAGCCCCTCTAGCCAGCCTGGAGGACTACTCTATGTATGGTCCTATCTTGCCGTAGATCCTGATGTGCCCCATTACAGTGGCCCACTGCATGAAGGAGTGGCAGGAGAGAGATGAGGTACTACAGGAACCCTGTGGTAGGGGGAATGAAAGGAAGGTTGTATTGTGGGATCTGCAATCCATGATGGTTCTTTGGTTTGTGTTTTCTCTAAGATTTATGTTTGAAGAATAAAACCGGCATTTGTGTTTCTGGCATTGGAATGGGACAATAGTTGATGAAGGCCATTGGAGAGGATGTGTCCCTTCTAGGCCCGTGGTAAAAGGACAGCATCCTGATTCAAATTATCATTCCTCATCAAGCTCTGGCAAAAATAGTTAATATATACCCTGCCATGCGGCACTGAAGCATGAACAATGAGCAATATTTCACATTGTCTTTGGCAGGATGAGGCGCTCAAAGAGCCTTCAATGGGGCCCTGAATGGGGGTTATAAGTGTTCATTGTCAAACTCTTAAAAACATCTCAGGTTTCTCTGTGGTTGGGGCTGCTTTTTTAGGTTATCCAGACCAAATCACCCAGTAGACGTGCTGTAGTCTATACTTCTGCTTGTGGGACTGTCCTTTGACAATTATGTCACTAGACTCTATTCATTAAAGTAGTCATTTGGCTGAGAAATTATTGAAGAGAAATTCTGTTTTAGTTGGCTATCACCGTCACTCATATAAAATTAAATGATTGTATTTGCCAATAAGTGTAATATGTTACCATACAGTATTTTCCTTTGGATCGTTTTAGCTACATGGAGTTAATTAAATCAGCACTCTTCCTTTTAGGAATGGAATTCCACTGTGGAACAATTAAAAGCAGAAGCACTCAAGATTCTGTTTTCAGAGGACTATGCGGAAAAGGAACATCTAAAGCTTTCAAATCAGAAAATAAATCTATTGCAAGAAGAGTTGTGCCATCGTATGGAGGAAAGGAAAACCTTGTTACAAGAGGCCAATGACTTCTTTAGTGCTGCTAACAAGGTTAGTTAGAGGCCAACTCTATAATTATAATCTGATCATATGACTGGTACTTTGCTCTAGAAATCTGATATGCAAGGGATTGTGTAAATTAATGGACAAAATAATGGAACTGCCGATATGGGACTCAATTAATAAAGAATTAAAGGAGGAAAATCCAATTAGTGCCAATCATCATGGGTTTATAGAAAATAATTCTTGACAAACCAACTTGATTTTTTTAATGAGATTTGGTTGATGAAGGTAAGTCTTGATGTAATTTACTTAGATATCCGTAGGGGATTTGCTTTGGTATGACACTTTGATTAAGAAACTAAACTGATACAAAATCAGGATGGCACAGACTAAATTGATTAAAGACTGGCTAACTGATAAGTCTCAATATGTAATTGTAAGTGGGGAATCATAATTGAAAAGGGATGTTCCACAGGGATCAATTTTGGGCCTACTCTAATTTAATATTTTTATCAATAACCTAGTAGAAAACATTAAATCACTACTGATAAAGTGTGCAGACACCACGAAGATTGGAAAAGAGGTAAATAATTAAGAGGACAGTTCATGGATATAGAGTGATTTGGTAAGTTGGGCATCAGCCAGTGTGTGTTTTATTACGGCCAAGTGTAAAGTCACATGTTTAGGAACAAAGGATATTGGCCATACTTTCAGGATGAGGGAATGTATCCTAGGATCCAGGACCACCAGGGTCTTATATAGCACATTGCATCAGTAGATCTCAAAGCACTTCACAGGCTTTCATGTATTTATCCATACAACATCCGATGAGATGGGAGGTAATGTGTCTCCATTTTACAAAGGGAAACTAAGACAAAGAGAGGCTAAGTGATTTGGCAAGGTCAGACTCCCATGTCTCCTAATTCCTAGACTCATGCCCTAACCACTAGACCTTGATTCTGAAAAAGACTTGGGGGACATGGTGGATAATCAAATTAATGTGAATCCCTGATGTAATTCTTTGGCCAAAGAGGCTAATGTGATCTTTGGATGAATAAATGGGAATATAGAGTAAGAAGAAGGAGATTACATTACTTTGTTTTCGGTACCAGCGCAACCTCTGATCAACACTGTCTAGTTCTGGTGTCAACAGGTCAAGAAGCATGTTGATAAACTGGAGAGGGTTCAGAGAAGACTTATGATTAATGGATTAGAAAGCATGCCTTTGAGCAACAAGCTTAAGCATGGCCAGCCCTAGCTATTCTGCAAGCTATGTTAGACACACACATATGCATAAACATTGACCAGCTGAGGGGAAAACTGCAGATTGTCCAAGCACATAAATAAAAGAGATGCATATGTACAGAAATAACCAGTTGAGCAATGTGGCACCCTTTTAGGGGCTGATTTGGTACTATGGGGATTGCCCTGAGCACTTCCCGTTAAGCGGGGTTTGAGTATAAGGAACTCAGTCTGTTTATTTTAACAGAGAGAAGACTAAGGGGTCACTTGATCACAATCTATTAGTATCTGCATGGGAACTGAACTTTGATCATAGAGGCCTCTTCAATCTGATAGACAAACGTATAAGAGCCAGTGATTAGAAGCTGAAGGTAGACATGATGTGCAAGCTTGAAATGAGGTGCATATTTTTAACAGACAATTCATTTAATCATTGAAACAACCTATCAAGTGCTGTGATGGATTCTCTATCACTGGCATTTTTTGGTGCCACTTGTGAAACATGCAATCTCTCTTTGTGACTCCATTGTACAGATGAAGAAATTATTACCTTCTCCACAGTGTCATTGAGTCTTTATCCATCCATACTTGCAGTGTTCTAGCAAAACCTTGGTTAAAAGGCACTATTTAAATATAAAATGTCATTTATGAGTGAGAGTATGTGTGCACGTGCGCGCACACGTGTACCGGGAAATGTGTTTATTTTAAGGTGTCCATAGAGGCAATCTTTTGATAACATATTACCGCATTTTTTCATGAGTTGTTTACAAAAGCCTTAAAAGATGGCTTTCCCCAATAACTTTTATATTCCCCCTGTTTAAAAAGTCACATAAAGGCACAGAACTAAAAATACTTTTGTCCAGGGTCATTTATTTTTTCAACACCAGGGGGGGGCTATTATCATATCTGTATTAATATATAACCCATTGTCTTGATGTTTATTCATATATAGATATATAGTCACACAAAACAAATGCATTGTATTAAAGTTACCAACAGCCTCAAAAAGTGCTGCCTCTTCTTGTGCAAAATGGACCTGATCCTGCTCCCAGTGAAGTAAAAAGTAAATGTCCCACTGACTTCGGTGGAAGCAGGATTGGGACCTGATATGTAGAGCTGACCAAAGAGGGCCTGATCCTGCAAACCCTTACTTATGTAAGTAATCCTTGCTGCTGCATGGTCTCATTGAAACCAAAGGCATTATTCACATGAGTAAAGGCTATTTGCACAGGTGATTATAGAATGAGACCCTAATTCAGAAACTATTCACATGTATCACAATCCTTGGACTTTGTGAGTGTGACCAAATCTGAATTTTGATTGGCTGGGTTTGTTGTTATGACAAAGTGCTGAGTTGGCAAAACATGGTGGCCATTTTTATGCAAATTAGGCACGGGATATCATTTGCAATGTCAACCTGCCTAATCTGCATCCCTCTGCCGACAGAGGTATGCAGTCTAGACATACCCTTGGACTGATCATATTTGTTTTTCAGTGGGCCAAAAACCCATAAATGGCTCTAAAGCCAGGAGAGTTATGCATGCTCATAGGTATCATGCCCATATTGTTCGTTGCAGACATTGTTTTTAACTACATCTTGAAAAGCTCGTCTCATTTTTTTTCTAGTTTTGTTATTGTTTTTTCCACATTAGTCTTTCACACTGAAATGAACAAATATAGTGAATGAACAGAAGGCTGGGGACGAGTTGCGTGGCTTGTCATATGGTAGCAGTTGGTAGAATGGTCTGCCTTCATGAAAAGTAAATCATGCCGCAAGAGTTTTTGATGACAGAGCTGAATCCATAATGCACATTGTGTCCATGCAGCTATTCTTGATGAAAAAGAAAATATATGTACCTATCTCATTCTGTGTTTCACTGTTCAGCAGCAATATCTGCAACAATTCTGTCCTCCATAGAGTAGAATTACGGGGAAATGTGTGCTACTGCAGAGCTCCAGACAGTTTACTCAGACAACTGGAGGTGGCGACACTATCTGGCTAATAGGGCTCATGATGTATCCAGACTTTCCTGCAGGAGGGCTAAGACTCAATTGAACTACTTCTGCCTCTCATTCTGCACCCAGCCTCTGCTCACCTGAAGCAGCAAATGGTGCAAGCGCAGGCTGGGTGACTCTGGAGGAGCAGGGGACGGCTGTGCAGCTGGTGGTGGGAGAGAAGCAGCAGTTCCCCTTCAAAGCACTGCTTCTCTCCAGTAGATGGCTGCACAACCACTCCCTGCTCCTCTGGAGTCTTCCAGTCAGCACTTGTGCTGCTTGCCACCACCTGTGCTTCTTGCCCACTCCCCCGAGGCTGCAGGTGAGCTTTGGTTTATATGTGCGGACATTTGAAAGTCGGATGTTTGTAATTCAGGGAGTGCCTGTATTCAGTTAGCAATTTAGGACTCAGTCTTGCATGAACAACGAGAAGTCCTTACAGATTTATTGGAGCATAAACTTTTGTGGGCAAAGACCAATTTCATCAGATGCATGTAGTGGAAATTCCAGAGGCAGGTATAAATATACAGGCACATGAAAAGAAAGGCGTACCAATCAAGAGGAAGGCCAGAAATAACAAGGTCAATTCAGTCAGGGAGGATGTGGCAGCTGATGTGGAGGTGTGAACACCAAGAGACGAGAAATCACTCTTGTAGTTGGCTAGCCATTCACAGTCTTTGTTTAATCCTAAATTGATAGTGTCAAATTTTCAAATGAATTGTAGCTCTGCAGTTTCTCTTTGAAGTCTGTTTTTTTTATGCAGGATGGCTACTTCTAAATCGGCTACTGTGTGTCCAGGGAGATTGAAGTATTCTACAGGTTTTTGTATATTACCATTCCTGATATCTGATTTGTGTCCATTTATTCCTTTACGTAGGGACTGTCCAGTTTGGCCAATGTATATATCTTGCATGAGGATCTGCTAATGAGGATTCCTGTGCCACTCCAGAGTCCCATTTACTTCACGTGGACTCTTCCCAGGCACTATAACCTATACTAGTAGGTCCTGAAGAAAGACTGGGACCTTTTGGGGAATTTTTTTACATGCATGTCTGCCTACTAATTACCTCAAGACCACAGATTGTTGATGACAGACAACTATATGGCAGCACTCTTATACTTATTTTAGTCATTGTGTCTACAGTGGAGTAAGCCGATTATTTTCCCTCCATCTAAGTTGCTTGCAGATAAAATAAGCATTGGAATTACCTCAGTTCTTGAATGGTTTTCCTAAGTGGTTATACATTTTCTTGGCCGATATTGTTTCTGATTCTGCCTTGCAGTAGACTATTAACACTGTCTCTTTTAGTTAAAATACAGTAAAGTGAAACACTTGTCCTTTTGATGATTGTCTCTGCTTTTACAAACACTAGTTTAAGGTTACCGACACTTCCATTTTAAGATCCTCTTTTCAGTTGCTTAGAACAATTGTTTGGGCTGAAATTTTACATGTGAGCTATCTGCCTCAGGATGATTCTAATTTAATCAAGACAGTTCCACCATTTCCAAGAACAAAATTCTAGGGAAAATAAATTGCTTTTCCCATGTTAAAATATTGTACTTGAAAAGTTCTAGTGCCCCCTTATGCTGGAGCACACATTTCAGTTTGTGAAAGAGGGTGGCTTTTATGTCAAGTATTTGCCTTTTATTTGTAAAAATACATCCAATTTTTGTGAAAATGGATAAGCCATAGAAAAATCACACTTTACCCATGCTCAGTAGAAATATTTTAGAATGGCAAAGCTATGTTCCTTTAAGTGCTATAAAAATAAGGGCCTTCAGAAATCAGGCTTTACATATCTCATATTGGACTACAAATTAGTGGAAATGATTTGGCTTTACCCTCTGTGCCTCAAGTTCCCCCAAATGTAAATGATTTGTGTAAATCTAGTGTTCAGAATAAATCTTTTGACTACACAGTAGATGGAGTTCTGTTACATAATAGATCTGAGACTACTCTAGCAAATCATAAACTGGTCCATATTTAAAATGTCCATATGGACCTGAAGAAGAGTTCTGTGTGTTACCCCAAATATATTCTCACTGGAGACCACCCAGGGTAACACTAGTGTGGGTTTATTTCCACTAGGTAAAACTAAAAAGGAGAAAGCAGCCACCAAAGGTTTAAACTAAAGAAGATAGATCTCTCTCTCTCTCTCTCTCTCTCTCTCTCTCTCACGCAAGCAAGCAAGCAAGCAAGCAAGCACACACCCCTCCATTCATTCACTCATTCATACCCATTCATTCCTGCCCTCAGGCAATCACATACTTACACAGACATATGGGTTGCAGAAGGAGCCAAGGCATGTGGATCCTGGAGGGTCTGTCTGCTCGTCATGGCTGGGGAAGCTGGTCAGGAGGAAAGACACTGGAGGGGAGCGTCTCAGGATCAGTGGAAGGAAAAAAAGAGAGTCTCGCATGTGCTCCTTCTCTTTATATAGTGTTTGAATGGCTCCTGTGACTCATTCACCTTGTCATCAGGGAGCATGCCCAGACTTCCCTTTATCCAGCAGAGAACATGCCCAGACTGTGATGACTCATTGCCATGTAGTCCATTGTTCCAAGCCTTCTTCAAACACACTCACACTCTCTCTCCATTCATTCAGGGGAGAATGCAGTTTAGGGAAAGTTCCAAGCAGGGTGGCTGAATGTTACAAAGATTACAAAGTTGCAGTTTACAGTAAATTTGAGAGTTACACAGATTACAAAGATTGACAAGGATCACAATAAATTGCAGTTTAAAGCCTTAGACCTTACAGTTTGGTGTAGCTTTAGAAAATCCATGTATATAAATCTAGTGAACTCAGGCGGAGGCTTTTTTATGCAACATTATGTAGCTTGAATATTTGTCTTTTTCACTAGCAGAAATTGGTCAATAAAAGATATTACCTCACCACTATGTCTCTCTACTATCCTAGAATCAATATGGCTACAACAATACTATAAATTACCTGAAATTTGTTGTGTGCATTTCATGTTTGTATTTTTCCTCTTCACTTTTCTTGGTCTGGATAGCACAAATAATATCTCAATACTGAATTAATTTTCTTACGGATAATAGTTAACCCAGTTCTTGGCAGTACCTATACAAAACGTTGTCTCACCAACTGCATTAGGATTGATTATGCCATCTTTTTGTACAGCAGCATTGAGGATTAAAAACTTTCTGACTTTCTTGCTGGTGCTTGCTTTGTGCCTAACCTGCTTTGGTTACTATGATTTTTTTTCTGACGCTGTTAATTTCTCTTCTAATATATGTTTAGTGTTTTCCATTCTTCATTATAGAATTAATCACTTTCCTCCTCCCCCATATGTATTTCCATGACTGCATCAGTTTCAAGTATTTTTGTCCACTTTTTCCTCGGCTTCAGTAATGATAAGCATTTCTCTTAGGTGTGTGAATAAATTTTAGCTTGTCACTTTTCCATTGACTCAGCATCTTATGGACTGGTCTCAATTGTTTTAGTTCATGCATAACATGCAATAGCAGCTATACACTGTTTCATTCCCATTTTGGATCTTTTTTCTTTTTGTCCTTTTGTGCACAGGTGTATATTTATTAAATAGGAAATTAATTCTTTTGAAAGTTCTCCACATGAGAAACACATACACAAGATCATAATAGCATTAATGCTCTATGTTTTATTATTTTGAACATAATGGCACTGCATAGCAAACAAGATTTGCAAGCGAAAATTGAGTACAGTAAGAATACTCACGATGCTAGTGTGGGAGCATGATATAGTAACTAAGAAGAGAATTTGGTCTGTGTAATTCATATTATTGATTATATTAGATGAACTGAAAAAAATTAAAGATCCAGTCTAAATTTACAGGACTTAAAAAACAAATCCAATCTCTCTGCTTGACATATTTGATATAAAGGCCAATAAAAAGGAAATTCTGCAATGCTATTTGTAATCAATTTTCAGAATCATTATTTGAAGTAAAAGGGGACAGAATTTGGTCAGAGCTGATCGGGAATTTCTGGCAAAACGGTGTTTTGGGGGAATATGCCAATTTCAACAAAACTTCCATTCAGAAAGTTTTCTCAGGTTGAGAATGGAATTTCTGGTCAAAACCAAAAACAGAGACACCCAGTTAAAAATAGCCAATAGCCCAGTGGTTAGGATCTTCACCTGGGAAATAGAGGTTTGAACCTATATACTGAATCAGGCCGTGTGTCTCTCCCAATCTCTCCTTTTGAGAGATTCTACTTTGTATAATTCTACTTTGTATAATTAATTCTATATTCATTGGAGTATAGCTTGAAACTGCATCACCCCCATCCCATTAGTGATTGTCCTAACCACAAAGCTATATAGTAAGTCTCTTTCTTGCTAGCCCTATGCGTAGTTAGATAAACATCTATCAGAGATGGTCTAGATGGTACAGGGTCCTACTATGAGGGCAGGGGCCTGGACTCGATGATCTCTCAAGGTCCCTTCCAGTTCTAGTGTTCTATGATTCTATGATTTAATTACTTATCCAAAGGGTTCCAACAGAGGAGACTGAGTAGAACCTGGTGTTTAGAGCACTGAATTGGTATGTGGGAAGATAACAAAGGGGGGATTGGAACCTGGGCTTCCCACATGTCATATTGTAATCCACACACCTACTGTGTCCCATGTAGTGGCATTTGGACCACTTACCACAAGAGATAAGAACAAAGGAGCTCTACAGCCTAGGCTGCAAGCCAGCTGGCTTTATAGCTCAATCTGTAGAGGCTCATACACTAAGCTCTAGAGATCCCAGGCTCAAATCTGTCTGGTGGTAGTTACAAGTGGGTGGGTTACAATATGAATGCTCTAAACACCAGGCTTCTGTGCCTCATTCTCTGTCAGGGCCATCCTTAGGCATAGGAAACATATGCAGCTGTGTAGGGCACCCAAAAATTTGGGGCACGACTGAGACCTCAGCAGATAAGAGTAAGTCAGCTACATACCCAGCACATGCTGCCATCTCCTGAGTCAGGGGCTGTGCCAAATGAACCAGTGCAGTGCATTCTGTGAGGAACTGTGTGGTGGACCAGGTATCTCAGTATCCTTTGCTGCCTCATCCCTTTTCCCAGACTGCGAATCCAAGCTGTCATCAGGCATAGGGGCACCAATTTAATAATACTGCATAGGGGCCCATAAATCCTAAGAACAGCCCTGCAATCTGCTGTTGGAGATGTTCCACTTTATATAATTAAACATGCATCCTGCCAGAGGAAGAGACTGAGTCTATAGTCCAGAGATCAGGCGCTCGTATACGAAACTAGGCCTGCTTTAGTCCAGAGACTGGAACCTTCCTGTCTGACATTTCAGCTATGGGTCTCTGGTCTAGTGGTTATTCTAAGGCTGGGAACTCTCTTTCATTTTTAACAATACAAAGAAGAAAAAGAAATGCCTCGCGTTTATCCCAGTGTGGAATAGGAACATTTTTGAAATCTCAAATATTTTCACAAATGGAAAAAAATATTTCCCACAGCTTTAGATTTAAGTTACATGTGGAACTTAGTTAATGATTCTGTTAGCAATGAATTTACTAGAAAGTCTACATCTTAGACAGATACTGAAGCTCTCTCTGCAGTAATAACATAAAGTGCTAAAAATAGTGCTTATGACTCTCAATACATGATGCGATAAGATCTCTTGGATCACTTTCTGTAACTCCACACTCAGCATTTTCTTCATAAATTACCACTACAACTTAATCGTGGGATCATGTCCTATGGTCCTAGTATTAGTGCCTTTACACTTTTTTTCTGCTTTGTTAACAGGATTCGTAATAAATGTAGGTCTGTGTTCCGTACACTTTTTGATGCATGGAGTTCTAACATTTTCATCTGCATTGATCAAGTCACTTTGGCCGAGACTTGGAATCAAACTGGTCTGATTATGTCTATAAAATGAATTCTGCTTTTAAACTCAAAATCGGATCCCCCTTTCATGTACTTTCACATAACTCTGTAGACCTCAGTGGGGTCTGTTTTTTTCCCCTTTGTGATGATCAGAATTAGGCCCTAAATTGATTGAATCATGTTCATTTTTGAGAAAATACTAATGAATATCCATCTAATATATTTGCTTTGTACCAAATACTTTGGTATTGTAAATCAAAATACTGAAGAAATGTGTTTCATTTGACAGGCATTTGATGCTCTTGGAGGTATTGAAGCTTACCTTAAGCTCCTTAACTCAGAGGGCTTAAGTTTGCCTATCTTGGCAATGAAGCATGAGGAATTACAGGGAGAAATTAAAGACTGCACAACTGATGCTTTGCAGAAGGGACAAGCCTTAGTTACTAAAGGAGATTCCCACAGGTGAGTAAAGAGAGCTCTTTCTCTATTTTACGACTGTTTCAGATCTCCCACTAACCTGATCGAAGACAAAAACTCATTTAGGGCCAGTCTGTGCCCAGTGGCATGAATGAGTCTTCAAAATTTGTCATTATTTTTCACTGATACTATATGAACAAATTGCTCTGCTTCCTATCACAAGTTTTTGTTTGTTCATTTTTAGAACGATATACACTGAAACATAAATTATGTACATAAAAGGCTATGGTTAGATCAGAAAATGTTTAGGAAAAGGCAGTCTGGTCCAGATAAAATAAAATGTCAACAGATAGTCATTTTTACAATCCCAAATGCACATTTTCAGACATTTGAAAGCCTATCCTGTATATTAAATTTAATAATTTATAACTTAATATAGCAGATGAACATAATATGTATTAAGCTAAATGTAAGAATATGAACAGTTCCTCTGCTTCTTTGTGACCTTTATTTATTAATAAAGTAACCTTTCTTTTTCCCCCATCTGTTGTTGTTAGCAAGAACAGTGTAATTCTAGGGACCTGAGTGGAGTTACTCCTGATTTACCTCAATGAAACTTAGATTCAAATTAAGTTGATTGTCTCCTATTTTTCACAACTTGTCATTCCAGGAGTGTAAAAAGCTTTGCTTCAGAAGAGAACTTCAAAATCTATGTAGGAACTCTCTTCACTTCAAGATCCTGTGCTATCACTTACAAACAAAAAACTTAACAACATTGCATTGATTTTCATCCAAAGTGGGCCCTTTAGTTCCACTGCAGTCTATGAGTAGCACCCACTGTAGTTATTTAGAGCTCTGAGCCAAGCAAAGAGATCCTATAATAAGTTCAGTGATTTTACCCATACCACATGCAGCTGATTTTATTATTCTTGCCGCTGGTATTTAAATAGATAAGCAGAATGAGAGAGAAGGTTTTCTTCCGTTTGCTTTCATTTCATTTTTTTTTTAAGCCAGCAGCAATCACAAACCTCAGGCTGTTCTTTGTTCAACAGTATCTCAGTGGCAGTGGATACAAAGCAAACAGGATTCCAAATTGCATTGGCTATCTGATTAATGGTTTGGCGTCTGCAGACCTTTTAAGAACGGATCCATAAAATTACTGCAGCCATTAATTTTCTCTGTCTTTTAAAACCATACTTACTGTATTTAAGTACTCTGCTTCAGAGTACTAGAAGCCTGTGACACAGTGCTGGTATACTGAAACCCCAGGACAAGTCGAGAAGGAAAGTGACAAATTGACATGAAGTAATTGTGTTAGAGGTTTGTGGCAAAATTAAATAAAAATCCTTCTGGATAGGCAACACTGATAACAGCAATGCTAATATGTGCTGCCATAAGCAGGTACCCTTGCCGAAAGAGAAGAAAAACTCTTTGCCAGGGAGCTCTAGTTAAAACTTCTCTCATGGAAGTTAACTAGCATTTTTGGTAGTGTTTTTTAAAATTTTGAGCTTCCCAAGTTGTGCTAGACATTTTACATATAAATAAGAGAGATGTGTGCTTTAAATGTGGAAAAAATGCAAGAACTTAGTGCAACAAGCTGTGTGTGTAGTGAAGGTTAAAGCAACAGTCACAAGGTCACTCAAGTTAATTATACACCTCTTGAGAATTGAACAAAATGTATACAATTTGAATACTGAAATTTTCCAAATCCTAGCTTTTAAACAAAACCAAACCAAAAAAGCAAACAGAAACCATATGTCTTCTGTTTCCCCCCTTTCCCTGCTGATTTCCTTCCACTCCTGACAAGTTCACTTTCTGCCTCATTTTAACCTTCTCCTGCACTGAGGGGGAGGCCATGTCTCCACTTGCGGGAAGATCAATGCTGCAGCAGTCAATCTAGCATCCTAGTAAAGACCCGATAAATCAAACGCTGAGGGTGCACCCGTCAGTACTAAGACTCTTCCTACTGGTGAGTAAGGAAAGTCGATGAGAGCATTTTTCCCATCAACACCTTGCTGTGAGGACAGCACCAAAGCTTGGTTTCAGGTACATCAACTGCAGCTATGTTTTTTATGTAGCTGGGATTACATATCTTAAGCTGACCTCCCCCCGTAGTGTGGACCTGACCTGAATCAGCCTTTACTTAAGTTGTATCATTGTCTATTCCCTGAAAGTGATCAAATCCAGGAGCCAGAGTTAGACTCGTGAATCTGTATTTGGGCAGGTAGATCAAAGTAGCTTTGTTTCCAAAGGGCTGAGCACCTGAAGCATCCATAGATTTTAGTGGGTGCTGCAAAGTTCAGCACTTCTTAAAAGAAAGCAACTTTTAATTAGGTGCCTAAACATCAGTTTGGGAACCTAACTTTAGGCATCCAGGTTCAGAAATGTTGGACTAATTCACTAGCTTTCTTCTTTCGTCTTCCCCGACATACCTTCCAAAGAACAGCTCTCTGAGTCAGGAACAGATGACATCAGAAGGGTGTTGGGACAGAGAAGTGCCACATTTATGGTGCTCCTGGAAGCCAGTGCTTCCCCCAGAAATGTTTTGCACTTTAGCCAACATGGAGTTTCTGAAAGGAAAACAGGGAAGTCTTCTCTTTTAGTCATTATAAAACCAGTGTGCTGTTGGAGGTGAATCTTTCAAATGAGACATAAAACTGAGTTTTGACTACTTCTTATTAGGAGCTTGGGTAGTGTTTAGATCTCCTAGAAGAGGACAGTTTCTATGAGGAATTAAGGGCTGGTAGGAATGTTGTCAGGAAAAGGAAGGGATTTTTGGATTAGGAAAGTAAGAAGAGATCAGGACTCTCAGAGTGAATTAGAATTGGTCTTCCCTTCCCATGCTGGGCAACATTTCTGTACAGTGAGCTGTCTCCACAAATTTCTGGTTTCCTTCACACACCCAATCATCACAGGAAACCAGGCAGTGAGCCAAGAGCCTGGCAGGTGCCCAAAGTGGCTTCATGCTCAGCTGTGTGGGATTATGTTTGTAGAAAGTAAGTGATGAGTGCTGCACCCCACCCACTTGAGGTAAGATCTTATTCAGCACTGAAAGGGATTTTAGTAGCCCAGGTGAGTGAAAGGACTCGGGGAAAATAAAGACATTATAGGGAACAAGAGAGAGACAGAATCTGAGCTCACCTGGCTTCCATCGTTTACCTGAGACTTTTGAAGACAAGGATGGCTGTCTTTACAGTATGGACTATGAAGTTTTCATGGCACTTTCAACAAGTGTTCTGGGTAATAGCCTCAGATTTCAACTTGTGCAATTTTATTCCTCCCTAAATTCATTCCATTCCTTCAACTGGATATACATTATTTTCCCTGATTTCCTTTCTCTTGGGTAGGGCTGTTGTAGAGTATCTGTGTCCTGTTTTGAACAGCAATTACTACAAGATCAACCCCAAACAACCAACCAAACAAAAAATAATTATGTTTCTTGGTGAAATTAAACAAAGAAAAAATAATATGGGTTTAAATAAAATGTTTCATTTCAGTTTGGGGCATTTTGAGGTGCTTTTTATTAAAAATTAAAAATAAGAAATGTCATTCATAATACTAGAAGAGAAGAGCCTCACCCTTTACACTGTACAACTAGAGCACTTAGCTGGAACCTGAGAAACACAGATTCTAAGCCCCACTTTGCCTGAGTCAGAACAGCTATTTGAACCTGCCTCCCATATTGCCTGTCAGTGCCCTAAACTCCAGGCTTTGGAGTACTCTTACACTTCTGCTACGTCTAGACTGGCATGATTTTCCACAAATTCTTTTAACGGAAAAGTTTTCCGTTAAAAGCATTTGCGGAAAAAAGCGTCTAGATTGGCACAGACGCTTTTCCACAAAAGCACTTTTTGCGGAAAAGCGTCCATGCCAATCTAGACGCGCTTTTGCGCAAAACAAATCTGCGCTGTCTACACTGGCCCTTTTGCGTAAAGCTTTGCGCAAAATGACTTTTGCTCGAATGGAAGCAGCATAGTATTTCCGCAAGAAGCACTGATTTCAGACTGTAGGAAGTCAGTGTTCTTGCGGAAATTCAAGTGGCCAGTATAGACAGCTGGCAAGTTTTTCCGGAAAAGTGGCTGCTTTTGCGGGAAAACTTGCCAGTCTAGACACAGCCCTCTAGTTTTGTGAATGGTTCCTAGTTCCCTGGTGAATCTAGTGCATAAGATTTTTTTTCTTAGCTGAAGTTATTTGATAATTTGTGTTAGATTCACAAATAGTTCCAGCCAACCCAGTACTGCATGTTTCAGTATTTCATACTATTCATATGAAAAATTTTGCCTAGCTCTAATGTACTATTCAGCATTAGTAAGGTTTTCAGATGTTGGCCCAGACAATTGGATGGTCTAAATTTATGTATGTGGTAGGCAAAAGCAGGAAACATTAAAGAAAGACCTTAAAATGTCAGTGAATAGCTTCATCCTCATAGTTTCACTATCGTTATTTATAGAACAGCCCAAAATGTATTAGGCACTTTACATGCGTATGTGTAATACCGTTTCCTGCCTTGAATAGCTTACAAACTAGAGCCCAATTCTGCCACCCTAATGTAGATTAGCACTTTATTCCAGAGATTTCACTGAGTGTTTATGTAAGAAGCACTCACATCAGATTTGTAGGATTGGGACTTTAATCAGGTAACTGGATTAGTCCTATCTAGTTCTCAGATCTGCTCATAACACATAATATTCTTACTCTGCTAAAAGTTGATCAGAATAAATGAAAGAGTACAAGAACATACATATTAGAAGATGTGTAGATTTTGAAAAGAGACTATTGGTGGGCAAGTCTTTATTATATTCTCTCTGCTATTATACCCAGATTAAAAAACTCCCATTCAGATTTTTGTTTCAAATGAGACTATTTGTAGTTACTGATTTCATGTGTATTTTCATTTTAAAAATGAAAGCCTGCTGACTATACAGTAGTGCTGTAGAAGATGCATTTTATATTCACTCAGAATTTCTTCAGTCAATTGATTTTTGTCTAATAAGAAAATCCTCATTATCATTCTGGCCAGTCTGCTTGCCTATCAGTAGTTTAAGATTTGGCCTCATTTCATTACTGATTAAACTCAATTTCACCATGTCATAAATTCATTATTTGTATTAAAGCCAGACAGAATCATTAGGGCTTTCCAAGATTTTATTAAGCTCTAAGTAATCATCTACAAGAGGTATAACCTTAATCTCTATTAGTGTTTGAAGGAGCTGCTCTGGTAAATTAAAAGTAATATCTCTTCTTTAAGAAATGTTGAAACAGAGGGACAACTTTTTATACATTTTAAGGTTACATTGAAAAATAAGAGGTTATAGATATGTTGAGAAATTAATTTGCAAAATTCGAAGCCACTTTTTCCATAAATAATGTCCTTATTGTGATCTTGGATTTTCTCTGGGCCGCATACACTCAGCAGATTCAGTCTAATGCCATTCTCCATGTCATTAGATAGGGTATTGCTCAACTTTAATCATGGTTGCTGAACTTGGTCTTCAGAATCACTGGGCCTGGCTGTATATAGTTGAATCAAGATAAGTACATTAGGAAGTCAGCAGAGAAATTAAATTGACAATATTCACGTTAGCAGTAGTTGATAAATTTTGGATGTATTTATTTATCTTTGTCAGAGACAACTTCAATAGTAAATTAATTAATACGAGCGCTAATTCTGTTTATGCTCCATCTTCAAATCCTAATTCTCTGTGATGACTTGTTTACAATTTGGAGAGAACTGCCTTAAGCATTCATATTATTGCGAACTGGCACCCTGGTGTTTAAACGTTTCAGATTATAAAACAATCAGGGCTTTCTCAATTGATTTATTCTACACTTCTATTCAAACCGCCTCTTTAAACAAATGTTGGCTTAAGCTTTGGAGGGAATGAGGTGACATATTTTATGTATTTACTGTAAGAAAATTGAAACATTTGGAGGCAAAGTCAAATATCCTTTTAAAATAGAAATCTAAGATGCTTGGCATGTCAGATTTTTTCATTTCATTTCTCTCCTTTTTGCTTAGTTCCTCTAGAGCCAGAATCTAATACCCTAACTTGCCCTGACTAGTACCTTACTCCATAAGTAGTGCAACTGAAGTCATTGGGAGTAAAAGAGCAAGTTAAGGAATCTGCATCTGAGTTGTATGCATTGGATGTGAAATAATTTGTTAGGAAATATCATTTCTCTGCTTTGCTCCTGAACAGTTTTATCTGCATTACTACTGTTAGATTTTTCAAGACTCGTTTTTAAAATCCTACTATATCATTTTTGTTATGAAACAGAAGAGCTATTTTTATTCATCTATTGTTATCTTGCTTCTGCACAAGCCATGACAAGTATTAACAGCCGTATTGTTCCAATGTAGCTCTTGGATGACTGGAATTCAGGAGACGATAAAATGTGTTCAGAAAAGGGTGGATCAACTAATCAGACAGTGTCCTGCTTACAAAGAACTTGCTTTCAAGAAACAAAGGCTCACTGCCTCACTAGAAGATTATCTAAAGAAGGTACATTATAAAAGGCATTCTCATTAATGTTTTCATGCAGATGGCATTGAATTTCTACACTACAGCTGTCAGAACATTAGACTTCACTTGTGAGTGAACAATATCAAATAATGTATTTAGCTGGTAGAGAGGATAGGTGAATTGTACCTGTGAAATGCTGAGTGCAGCTGCAGGCACCCGTAATCTTAAAAGTCTTGATCCGAAAATGAAGCTTTTTCTACAAGCACATTACATCAATGCCTATTAAATAATAAATCATGGATTTGCTTTGATAACGAGCCCTTTGTTTTGGCAGATATGAGCAACCAATCCAAGACTGTGACTTGCATGAAAGTTTCTTGCATTCTTAATATTTTTTCCCATTTTGTTTTGTTGACAATGAGAGAGGAGGAGAAGCAAACTCAGGGGAACCACAGGAATGGGGATTGTGAACCACTGCAGAGGTGATGTGATTTCTCTTTCTTAGTTGCCAAAGAAGAGTGCATCACATTCGCAATAACGGCTCCTTCTGTTCATTAAGGAACTGATCCTGAAAGTTAGTGAAAGCTTCCTCCAAGCTTCTGGGTGTCTTAGGCTCTCTCTGACCTCTGTTTCATTACATTAGAGATAGATTAGGCACACAGAACTTCACTTTGAGCCTATATGCCTGTTCTACCTCTAATGCAATATAATATTTCTAGCAAGCAAAGGAAAGCAAAGACATCCTACAGTGCAGACAAAAATTAAATAATATGTAATGATTCAGTAATTATTAAATAAGCAATTTCGTAATGTACACATGAAGGTTGCAATGAACTATCCTTAATCAAATGGTAAGAAGTCAATTTGCTATCCATGAATCCCTTGAAACAGATTTTCTATACATGAGGTTTCAACTAGTGCGTAGTTTAGTTAGTCTTGAACAAAAAGACTCACCTGTTGGTTCTGAACAAAAGGCATCACTTGAAGAAAATGTGAATCTAAATCAAATGAATGCTCTAAATGTAACAGTGTATTTTCTCCATCATTTTCATATGTGGTCTCTGATTCTGGATATCTCAGTTTAGGGCATTGCATTTCAGACACCCAGAATTTGAGGACATTTGGAACATTTGAACCAAAATATCTCCACTTTCCTCATAGAATGCTACCCAGTGCCATATGCTCCCCAGTAAAACACTTCCCATTTCAACCTCCTACTAAAGGCAAGCATTCTGAAGGATCTGCTGCTAAATTAGGCTCCATTTGACACACGGTGATCCCAGGCCAAATTCAGAAGCAACATTTTAAAATGAATGATAGACATGAATTCACATTCCTAGCAGTGACTATGTATACACATATAGACTCATCTGCAGTTGCTCTTCATGTTCTATCCTGTTGCCAGCATGCATGCATAACTCACAGGGTGTTATATACACATATCTGCATAAAATAGACCTTTTAGATTGCTAGAGAAGTTTTAAAGATGCTTTAGTTTTAAAAAATGGTGTAATCTGCAAAATATTTTTTTAAAACATAAGGTATCTTGAAAGTATTAAGTTCAAAATGGTAAATTCTAGATTATAACACTGTGAAGCTTCAAATTTATTATAATAAGAATGCTGTATTAATTAAGAATGATAAAAAAGTAGATAAAAAAGAAAGCAGGCTCAAACCTGTGTCCCAAGTGTACACAAGACTTTTTAGTTAGATTTGCAGTAGGTAGAAGAATTTGTTTGGCTTTTTTATTTTTGGCATCCTCTGTATTTCCTGATTATAGGAAAGGTTGAAAATCAAAGCTGTGAAATGCCAAGAGCTAAGTCTGTTCCCTCACTTCGTTCTCTATGCAAGCTTGTGTTTTTATAATGTCTAGTGATGAAATTAATATAATGATGTGTATATATATGTATATATTTTAATATAGGTATCACTATCAATTAAAAAAATCAGTCCAATACTTGCAGTCAGTGTGGATCCTGGTTCTTGTTTGACTGAGTCAGAGAAAGTTTTGAACAAATACCTAGAACTGTCTAATCAAGCTAAGGTAAAAGAAATGTTTCATATACTATTACCCTATCTATTTTTAGACACAAATGTATATTTTACACAAATGTGCTGAGATGCTCAGCAAGGGATGGTTATATTTACTAAGAAGGTAATACATCTCATCTCAGCCCTATTTTTTTTACTATCATCCTATCCTTTCTTAGTATCTCCAGGCCCAAACACGGTCGGATTCTAATACCCTTGGAAGCATCATGTTCTCGATGTATATTGCTGATCCACTAATTTTTGGGATGTCAAAAATGGCATGTTTGAGAATATAACCACTGTGAGATCATCTTTCCCACTCACACTCCTTCATGGTGGATAAAAGGGCTAGAATGGTGTAAAAGCCCAGGTCTGGATGGGGGAGGATTCTCCATTCATAGGTACTGCAGACAGCCATAAGGCTTCCTTCTGAGAACTTCCGAATCATGAAGCATTACAGGGAAACTATTGTAACCAGATAGGCCCCACAACATGTAAGAGGGGCTTAAAGCCACTTTAGCTCTACCCCCCTCACCACACCCACTTTCCACTAGTGGGTTGAAATTTCACCACAGTTTCATATTTCAAGGTTAAAATGGGAGATCTTTAGAAAATGCAGCAATATGTATTCTCTGTGAAACTAGTCCCAATTTCAATACATTCTGAAAACTCAGTATCTTTGTTGTTCTTTTTCTTTGTTGTCTTGTACCAGTTTATATAAACCAATAATTGGTCTTGTGCAGTAGCACTGAAAGTAAAATTCACTTACAAGAAATTCTGAAGAGCACTCAGCAAGAATATAAAAATAACAGATGCGTTGTAAGAGCTATTCTTTGTGACAAATTAGTATGAAATAATTTTTTATAACATTTCTGCTCAGTTGGTGTAATGCTAGTCTGATGTAGACATTTCCTTTGTCTGTTGTGATCTTTCTCTAGAAACTGTATAATGTGCTTTGACTACAGTATCCTAGCCACATACCCATTCTTTCTGTGGAATTTCACAGGGTATATAGCTTGCACTCTAGCTGAGAGACAGAGATAAATATACCATATACTATCAATCCAAGAATTGGACTAAAGTATGTAAAGCTATCTTAGGCCTTTAGATATAGAAATATATGGATCGAACATTTTGCCTACAGTAATTCATAGTTCTGATGCCATTGCTCACAAGATGCAGTTTTGGATGATAACATTATGCATACGAGGCAACAATTCCATCAATTCACATTTTAAATTATTTATGTATTTTCTGGAGAAAATTTGGGATCCAGAAGTCGTTTGAAAAGCACAATAGCAAAAAGTTTCTGAGGGGGTTTCCTGAAATGATTTATCATGTTTGCCAGACTTTTCACATTTAAGTTAAACTTTGGATCTTTCCAGGCAGTAAATGCAATCTAGATTTTATGCTAAGGTTGGATTTTCTTCATGACCATTCTTATGTGTTTTTGAGAACAAGTGTTCAAAGCCTTTTCTGGAAATTTATTCACCGGGTTCTACGTAATATCAAGCCAACATCTGACCTCAGGAAGAAGTGTCTCAGACTTTATAAGGCCCACAAGAAAAAATAGGCGTAAAGTTTGAATAAAAGATTTGTGCTTGCCTAGAGTTACGAGCTAACACAGCAGAACTGAAAAACAGAATCCTGGCTGATTATTCTAGTATAGCGCTAATGTCAAGGACATCTGCACAACCCAAACCATAGTAAAATACTACTATGTTTGGAGAGTAGAGACCGTAAACAGACATGATGTGCTGCTTGGCTCCTATTTCAATTTTGGGGACCTACAGATTTGCACTGCATGAGAACTTACTGACCATGTCTTGGTTGTGTGGGTGGCCCATCTCTCTATCCATGTTCCCAGATGGAGCATTTCCATTGCTTTTGATCCTTAGTTTTGTCAAGAGACTACACTGATTGTCACTACTCAGATTCACATTTTTCCCATTCCAAGTTAGCAAATTTTATTATGTTCAGGCTTTGTGTTTGATTTCAAAACTATGACAGGCAGGGTATGTTTATCTTTGGCATTTAAGGTACATTTTTAGTTGTTCCTTTGCTATGTAGGAGGGTGGCTTAAACAGAAAGAACAAATACTGCTGGAAATTAACATTAGGATGTGAATTTTGATGAGCCTTTTCCAATTACCATATACTGTGTTCTATGTTTATGCCCTCATAGGAAACATCACATGAATTGGAAGCAGCTGTGAGAATTATTAATGAGGTGGAAGAATTTGAACCTGCAGAGGTGGCAGCTTTCTCTAGCAAAGCTGACCTTCTAAATGAAGAACTGACAACACTTAACAGAAATATTAGTTCAAAACTAGACCTTCTAAAAGCTTATGTGGCATTTTTAAAGTCATCAAAAGAGGTAGAGATTCCCTTTTGAATTACTAAATGTCACTCTGTAATTTCACAAGGAGAGACAATGGCTTTTGTCAGATCTAAAATACCATCTAGGGCTACTATGCCAGGGAGGATGTGCAGGCCTCCAATCTACATAGCCCCTAGGCTGCTGTCTATTTCAAATGAGGTTATTTTCCTCAGCAAGGGCCTTAGTTAAAATCAGTGCAATACTGTAGATAGTACACTAGCATAAGGAATTACATGCATGCATTTTTGTACACATTGTTTTTAGATACCCCTCCGCTGGATATCTGTGGGAAATTGTTGTTAAAGCTGTTCTGACATAGCTTTATATTAGTATAAATTGAGTCCACGATAGGGTCTGATTTTTCTACCAATGTAGTTCAATTGGTAAGAAAAAATAGTTAAATTAGTTTTAAACCACCCAAGTGGAGCCCATAATCAATCCCTTCATTTCTAACATGCCTTTGGAAACTGATAAACCTGGGCTAGTGATAGAACTAGGATTTTCTGGTCCTTGTTTTTGTTCTGTAATACTATTCACTTGTATGTTTTAAACTAAAATAAGAACAGAAGTAGAACAAAATTTTTTAGATAAATTTTGCCATAGCAATTAAGTTTTCAATTATAGTGATGCTAATTAATAACACGATCACATTTACTTGTTCATAGCCTAATGTTTCACTTTAAGTATTTTTTAATATTTGTCATGTATATTGTATTTGTCTAATAATTTTTGTTACCTCACATTAAATGAAACTAAGCAACATATAATATTAACATACTAGATAACAGATATTAAACAAATTACTAACAGCTTAAAAATATTGCAGTGTGTTTAGAAGTTCTTGTTGAATAATAAACTTTTCACTTCAGTCCCTCACCTATTTGCCAACTGTTAAATTAGGTGTACAGGTTACTTAAAACTAGGGATGTCATCATGTAGTCCACTACATGATTAACCGATAAGCTTTAGTGTATCAGTTAATCTTATCTACTACATGCACTCCCCCCCCCCCCGGCGCCTGGCGGGGCTTTAAACAGACTCCCCATGAGCACTGGCTCTGCCAGACCCCCCCACTCCCCTGCTGCTGCCTCTCTATGAGAGGCAGCAGCATGGAGCATAAGGGGGCAGTCTGGAGCCAATACACATGGGGAGCTGGCTTTCAAGCAGGCTCCCTGCACATGCTGGCTCCACAGACCCATCTGCCCCCACCTTTGCTGCCTCCTACAGAGGCAACGAGGGGGGGAGGCAGGAGCCTGTGCTAGGGGGAGCCCGCTTAAAAGTCAGTTCCCACCAGCACCAGCTTCATGGTGTGGTCTGCCCCCCACTCCTGCCTCTATCAAGTGTGGGGTTTGAGGGTAGCATGAAGCAGTCTCTATCCATGGCGGCCTGAGCTGGCCGCAGAAGAGGCTGGTTCATGGCATGAGCTCCTGTCTGGGGGAAGTGGGGGTGTCCAAGATCTCTGCAGATGGATGGTGCTCCACTTCCCACAGGGTTTGGACACCCCCACAGACAAGGGTTGGTGACACCTTGTGCTGCTACCTCTTTATTTTAAACTGGCTCCCCAGTGGACTGGTTCCCACCTGTCACTCCACGCTGCTGCCTCTGATACAGAGGCAGCAGTGCAGGATCAGAGGGGGCCCCCTGGAAGTGGGGCTGGGAGTGCTCTGGCTGCTGCCCCGCCCCTTGGGACTATCGAATAGTCGTGTAACTGCTAAGATTACATGCGGTTACACAACTGTTCAATTATACTAACATCCTTACTTTAAAATACGTCTGCTTAGTTTATGGTTTCTGTAGAGGAAACCATGGGGTTTAGAACACTGAAGACATTAATTAATTAATTAATTAATTAATTATTCAAACATGGTGGTAGACTTGAGTTTCAATTGTTCAGTTTTAGATATTAAGGCCTTTACTTTTATTCTTGCATTTTTCTATAGGTAAATGACCAAACTCAAAGTCTGAAGGAATTCTATAAATCTGAGCCTGTGCAAATAGAGATTGAAGCTGAAACCAGGAATATGATGGAATCAGCTAATACTCAGTGGCAGATGGTTTTAAAGAAGATTCTCTCCACAGAAGATATAGGGCATGAATTTATTAATTCATTAAATATGGTAAGACTGTAGTTCACAGAGTTATCACTGTAGCAAGGATTAACTGTTAAATTTACAGTGATCATTTCAAATTTCAAATATGCACTAAACTACCATAACCAGTGACTGATTAACAATAGATCTATGGATCCTACTCCCATGCCCCGAAGAGTTTGCCCAGGGCACAGTATTTCTACTTTGTATTGCATCCTGGGGAGGAGGATCATGGTTAGAGCTGAGCAAAACTTGGAGTTTTTTTCATTTGTGGAAAATTCTGACATTTCATATTTTTTTTTCATTTCAAAATGGTATAACTTTTTTTTTTTTTTTGCGGCACAGAAATTCTAAAAAGTTTTGATATGCAAATGGAAAAACATTTCATTTTGACATGTTCAGTATAAACAAAACACTGTGACATTTCTGAACTTGAAATGTTTTATTTTATTTTGTTGAATTCACTCCCAAAGCTGCTTTTCAAGTGAGATCAACATTACACCGCATTTCTCTGGCATAGTTCAGTTCCTCTATTATCTCCAATGAGCCAGACTCTCCATGGAGACTACATCTCCCACAATGTAAAGAGACCAAGACCTCTCTGTATCTGTATGCTGCAGCGCAGAGGATAAAGTCCTCCAGTAAGACTAGCTCAAAGGAGGAAGTAGAAGATCCAAATTACACTTTGTCTGATGAAATTGTGATGGTAAACTGTACTTTAATTTTTAACTGATTTTAACGTAAACGTTTTGGGTCAACTCAGTGTAACAAAATATCTTGAGTTTGGCCGAACTGATCCAAAATAAAGTATTTCAGGTTGATTTTCTTATGAAAAAAACTAAAGTTTTTGGCAAATTTGAACATTTTCATTCTGCAGAGCTGCATTTGCTATCAAAAAATCTTTCCTATGGAAAACTCCTGACCAGCTCTAATTGTGATGGCATAGCTGTAAACACAATATTGATGGCTCTAATCCTAATAACAATAATGTGGTTAAATTGGTAGGCAATTCTTAAGTAAGGGTTATGTTTTAACATGAGATTTCAGAGGAAGTTAAGTCATCTTTTACATTTTATTACTTTGTAATTCTTGTACGTTGAGCTTATTAGAGTTTGAAAACCTATGAAAACCTTCCATTGCAGTGCAGTAGAACACGTCTGGGCCTGTAACACTTTTCAGGCCATGTAGGAATTGCTAGCAAGTTTCCAGCTGTGTATAAGGATAAAATGCATTTGTAGACATTTTAAAGGCTAGCTCACTCCTCCCACTATCTCTATGCATAGATCACTCCTATCCCATGCAGAATGTGAGCTTGGAAAACTACTTCTGCACCACTCTTCACCCCTCTTCCGCACCTTTTGGAGGGTGGTCCATGTATCTGGGATCTGCATGGGTATACTGGACATTTGGCTACCAGGAGCAGTAAGAAGTAGGCAAGTCCTGTCGAGTTTAAGCATAAAAGATTATTTGCTAGGGATGGGATTATTTCTACTTCTGAGGTACCTTCTGAGCATCCAAGGAGTCACCACAGTCAGGATCCATGTAAGCATGATTTTAATTGAGCAGTTCCTTCAGGGTTTGTGGAGGCACAGGGCCTCCATGCAGACAACCCTGGCCTTCTGCAGACCCCTGAGCATTTGTTTGGTTTGAGGACTGGTCCTACCTTCTTGTCCACTGGGATGCAGTAAATCCCACTTCTTCAAAGGAACAATAGAGAAAGTCTGCAAGGACATCATCATGGACATTTTCTCCAGAACTCTCTTCTTATGGGAAGAAAGCTTGCAATCTTGCAGGCCACTGGTCTTTAAGGGTGTGTCTACACAGCACCCTTAGCTCAAAATAAGCTATGCAATTTGCACAGCTTATTTCAAGTGTGTTTCAAAATAGTTTATTTTGTAATTTGGCGCTGTCTACACAGTGTCAAATTTCAAAATAACTCACTATTCCGAAATTTCCCTTAACCCTCATGGAATGAGGGTTACCAGGATGTCAGAATAAGCCACCTGTTGTTTTGAAATCTATTTGGAAATAAAAGGCTGCTTCAGTAGACATGAAATAACTATTTCGGGATACTTCCAGTATCCCAAAATAGCTCCACAGTGTAGACGTACCGTACCCTAAGTGAAGCAGTAAGCTGCAGACTGAATGGCTGTAGGCCTACTGATGGGAAATATAAAGGGTGTGTGACAAAACTGTTCCCCATTCTGGCATTTTGGGTGCAGAAGACGGGCCTGCAGGAGACCTTAAAATACCTTACCACTAAAGGCTTCTATATAAAAATTCCCTAAGGTCACAGACTCCCTGACCTTGAGTGGTACGCTGCCACCACCCAAATGCAAAAACTCCTTGGAGCCACAAAGAAGCACTTGGGAACTTCTCTCTGTGGGGTAACTTTTAATCCTCCCTTAGGAGAGAGTTTGGAAACAAAGTGTAATCTTTTAATAGGGTGAGGGTTTAAAGCAGCACAGAGAAGTCCCACAAACCAAGAAAACCTGACTGCATCTAATTATAAACATTCCCTGTTCTACTTACATCTCTGTTATTCCAAAATGTAGGTTTTCTTTTCTTAGACATGATATTGCTGGAAAATCTGTGCCTTATCACTGCTTAGTCCATTTCTATCCCAGCTCCTGTTCTGGCTCCCTCATAAAGAAAACTGAAACAGGCAAAATTTATTTCATTTAAAAAATCTTTCACTCTCTTTCCATTGGCACTCCTGGCTCCCTGCCAGCACTTCCTGGTTATCCGTTGTTCTGGGTTTAACCCTTTGTTACTGAATATTGGGATGGTTAGAAAAAAGTAGTACCCTGCCTATCCATCACAGGGTAGCTGCCTGGGGCCCAGCAATTCAGAGGGCCCAGGGCTCCTAGCTGTTGCCACCGCTGTTGCAGCAGTGGCTGGAACCCTGGATCCTTTACATCACTGCCGGAACACTGTGCCCTGAGCAGCATGCTCTGGATGGTGCTGAGGTGGGGAGCACTGAGGGCTGGCTCCCCTGGCCCCACCCTTCTACCTGAGGCCCCACCTCTTTTGCCCAAGGACCACCCCCTTCCTGGAGTGCAGAGGCAGCCCTCCCCCACCTTGCCCAGCGGCCTGGCATGTCTGTTGGCCCCCTGGATAACTGGCAGTTCTTAATTCTGATGTGCTGTGTGGTCCGAGCAAGTCATGCTAGCCTTTCAGTGTCTGTCTCCATGCAGGAACTAACACATCACTCCATCATAGAGGGGTAGAGAGGATGAATATATGTGCAATATTTTCAAACTAATAAAGCACTAGATGGTGGTATGATCAATTACACTCTAAAAACGTTTGTGAGGGAAGGCAGAGTGGTACAGTGGAGGGCAAATGAGGCTGGAAATCAGGAGACTTGGGTTCTTGTTCTGGACCTGCTGGGCGACCTCAGGAAACTCACTTTATTTCTCTGTGCCCTATACAGAGGGGGAAATTCTCATTTTAAACCAAGAATATTGAGCTTGGCCTGCCAGTTTGTAAAAGCTGTGCCATTCTCACATGCTCTGTGACATGCACTGCTGACTCTGGCTAAAAGCACAAAGGCAAGCAGGCATAAAAGCTATGTGATACAAATAAAATAACCTATTACAACAGTTTTTTCATATACATATTTTACTCAAGATAGACTCACATATTTCTGTTTGTGCAATATACACTTTATTCTGCATCCACTAAGAGGTAGTCTGTGCTAGTTGAAAAATATGAAAGTACTTTTTAGAAAAATGGGCGATAGAATTACCTCCATGCCATTTATCCTTGCTGATATGCTCTCAGATATTGCCTCTTGCAAGGCCTAAAAATTGCTGCCAATACATCATCTGCTAATATGGTCTCAATATATTCTTGACATGGGAGTTATAGTCTTAATATTTATTAATGTCAGCATATAGATAAGAAATATAATTTACATACACATCCTTCCACAGATGAAAAATTCTAGGCTAGATTTGGGGAAAAGAGTAAAGAAAATTACCAAGTTTTCTATTGTCACTCCAAAAAGCTTAAAGGCAAAAGAATCCACAAGTGTTGCCTATGTTTGCCTCATGTTATCTCACGAGTTTTTCAGCCTTGTGCAATGGAAACCATATTTAAGGATAAGTAAATATCCTTAGTCCTCCTTCAGTCCCAGTTAACTCTTTGTTGAAATTTCCGACGGTTATATGAATTATTGGCAATGTTGGTAGTTTCTCTGATGTTGAACGCTGTTCATTAAGATGTGGTTTGAAGACTCCACCTGATTTTTCATGGCCATCAAACAGTCATCAAAAGGAGATCATTCTTGGCCATTGCTGAACCAAAGAACTAGTCTTCCATGTCTACTCCCTTTAGTTAGCCAGTTCTCTAAAACCACTGTATTATACATGCACACAAACTACCAGGAAACTCCAAAATAATTATGCTGAATTATGCCGATTGTATTCAGCTCTCTTTTTAAAAGTTGTTGAGCTAAAAACTGAATCTGTTTTGCATTCTTATAAATATGTTATTCTTTTTGGGGAAAAATGAAGTTGCATTTGTCATTTATTACCAGGTAAATAAGAATATTATATTCCAAATGGAAAACGTTATGCAAATAACTGAAGACATTATTGACAAATTGAATAAAGAAAAGGAAGAGCTGATAGACCTGTGGACAACATGGAGGCTCCATATAAATCAAGGAAAGTCTATCAAACAACAATGTTGCAAATTTAAAGAGCAATTTAAAAAAGTAAGTGAAACACATCTAAAGATGACAGTTTTGACACACATTTTTGCATTATTAATACTGTAGTCTGAAATTACCACGTGTCAGTGCTTCTCTCACCACTTAATTCTGCAGGTGACGCAGAAGAGATCACTCTATGGACTGTTTGCTGTATTAAATTGCTTGATTTTCTATTATTTTTGTTTTGTGCACACTGTAAAATCCTG